CAACAAATGCAATTATTATCAGCAACACAATCTAATCAATGCATCGATAAGCGAGTGCATTGCCGAATGATCGGAGTACACTTGAAGCTTGATGCATTGCATATGCAATTGTTGTTGTTCCTACAATTACATATTTCGCGAATTCGAATATGTTTTCTCGCAATACGTGCCAATGCGTGGTTTTCCCCACATAACAAAGCTTCCAAGCAAACATCATTAGTTCTACCACATTAAACACACACACACCGGTTTGCAACACACGCATGCGTTTGCGCTGAGAAGTTAGCAACGACAGCGGCGTTGACGTTAGCAGCTAAGCTAGCGTTGGCACAGGCGCGAACAGCAAAGCTGACAGAACCGCTTACGTTTATGGGCATACAATTCTCGCATTTTACTCTTTGGCTATGCGCACCGAAGTCATAGCTTGCATGTATAACTTATGTACCATATATGTACATAAGTATGTACATATGCATGTATGCATGTGTAAAGTTTGGGTATTTTCGACTAAACTTCCAATTAACTGATTAGTAATCTAGAACAGCCAAGCGATTGTTAATCCAGTTTTTTGCTTATGATTAGTTGGGCGGACATTTTTATGCTCAAAGCCTGTTTCCTCTCCCCAAATACTATACTATTTCAATTCAATTCTACTATCCCGATGATATAGGTTTCAGCTCAATAGATTACTTGTACTCAAGATCAGATGGACTGCAATAATATTATAATTTATAAACGACAGTCCTGAACTTGAACTACCACTGCAGTTACCTAAACCTGGATGTTGGGAAAATATATTTTGTTCGGTTCAGTTATAATTATTTGGCGAAGTAAAGAGCTGAATGGTTACCTGTCGCTGGTCTTAAAAATACTCATATAAATTTTAGAATATTCAAGTTATAAAAATTACAAAATTTAAAAAAAAAAAACTGCAAATCGATGGTAAAACAAGCAAGAAATAGTGTTGCGAAGAAATATCTTTCACAGCTGTATTTCTTATAACTACTATATGTAAAATAAATTTGGAAACGTAACTGGCAAATTTTTACATCCAACGTAGAACCGTTTGCCAATTCTTTCTAGTCACCTTGTTTGATATTAATAACACTCAAGTTGAATCAAGGTTACATAATATGAAATAAGGTATATTATTAAGATCTTAAGCTTGATTTTAATCGCTCAATTTGAATAGTAATTTTTAGACCAGGGTAGATAATTTTTGAAAACAAAAAAAAAATTATAGTAGGATGAAACACTTCGGAAATAATTATAAAAAATCAAACATTAAAGGAAAAATAATTTACAGCCGATCTGAGTTCGGCAAAAGGAAAAAAGGCCCCTCCTGAGTGAATTTTTACGGGTCGAAAACGGTTTACCTTAATTTCCGACAAAACTAAGAATCCTATAGAAAAAAATTATACGACAATGTTATAGGTAATGAAAAAATCTATAACTTTTGGCTTCTTTCACATAACCTTAAAAGCTATGTGAAAGTTCCAGTTTTTGGTTTTTTTATTTTTATTGTTATTAAAAAGTAATTCCTTCTGATTTTCAATAAGATGCGATATAAAAACAACCGAAAGCTCGAAAATATTTATTGTAACTTGTATAAAACAATGTCTTCTTTCACGAAATATGGTGTAAACTTACCTTCCAATGTTCTAAATACACTGATTTTTTAAAATTTAAAATATTTAGCTTTTCTCCTTATATTACGCTAATGTCGAAAAAAATCCCATTTTTCAATCAAAAACTTTTAAGTCTAAATTTCAAAGTTTTTTTTTTTAAATTTTAATAATTGCTGAGACCTCTACTTTATAATGGTATAAAACTTAAATACATTACTATGATAAATTTTCTCAGAAAATGCAAAAAGAGAACTCACTAAACAGCTAAAAAACAATTCAAAGCTACTTATCTTTATTTCATCTACCTTTTATTTCATAGTAGCAGCAACAAAAAATTAAGCAGTTTCGAATTGTTTTTCAGCTGTTTAGCAGCACACATAAAGTCTACTGATTTTTTTTAAAAATCTGAAATTTTGACTTGAGAAAGTTTTCAATAAAATATCTAGTTTTTTTGTGGTCAATTTGTATACAAAGTCTTGATTTTGATCGATCACGTTGTACGGCAGCTATAACCTAAAATGTTCCGCTATCTGCGCTTCCGACAAGTGAGCAAATTCTTGCGGAGAAAAGGACGTGTGCAAATGTTCAGATCAATATTTTAAAATCTGAGTGACGAGCAGACAGACGGTCATGGCTAAATTGACTCTGGTCGAAAGGTGGTCAAAAGTATTTAAACAACGAACTTTGTTTGCGCATTCCTCCGAACTACAGTTTTTGTACAACGTAGTAAGATAAACATCCCCAAAACATCACCGTGCTACCTCCAAATCTATTTAGTGGCTGAAATGTAACCTCATCTGTCCATAACACGTTACACCTAAACTGCGATTCAGTGGAATATGCAAAAAAAGTTCGTTGTGTAAATACTTTGGACCTCCTCTGTATAACCGAATGTTATAATTTTATTTGTTAGTCACTTATACTTGATGTAATGCTTAGAAATAAAATAAGCATTTAAATTTTTTATAAAATTTTTAACACTTCACAGTTGGGGCTCAATCGTCTACGTCACATTAGTAAATAGTTAAACATAATGTCGAAACCCGTATATCTGACGCTGACTATTTGCGCTTACACTTAACAGTTTGTTAACGCCCTCATTAGTAAAAAGAAATATTACACCAAATACTATTAAAAAAATTTTTATTTTCAATAAATACCTCTTTCACATTATGGCTCTGCACATATGCACATATGTACATATATAGATAAGTAAAATTGCGCCAACATTTTAATACGGCAGTAACGAGACTCTTAAGGACGGCCGTGACGTATGATGAACTTTTATGTACGAAGCTATGTAACACTTGAAATTAAAAAAAAAAGTTTGCATACAAGAGCTTGATTTCGATCGTTCAGTTTGTACGGCAGCTACATATATGCTATAGTGGTCCGATGACGGCGATTTCAACAAATGAGCAGTTTCTTGTGGAGCAAAAGATGTCTACAAAATTTCAAAAACTATGCCAGACAGACATAGCTAAATCGACTCAGCTCGCCACGCTGATCATTTATGTTTTATACCATTTATGGTATATTTTATAACGTCACCGACGATTCCTTCTGGTTGTTACTAACTTCACTGCATGCTTAATATTTTCCATTAAGGGTATAAAAATAGAATCGTTGTAGATGCTATAGTGATATTATCTATTTAATAATGATGCAAAGCAAGCAAATAGAAGTAACAATAATAATTACGTACTCATTTATTTACCTATGTGAGCATATTTCTATATTTACAACATGTGTATGTACGAGTATGTTGTTGCTTTCTTAACACTTTCACGCATCACTAGTTGGACCAAGACGCATACTAGCTTGTTCTCATGACTTTCAAGTACAAATTCTGCTATGACGCGCTTGTCACCCACATTTATGAGAGAAATAATTGTAAATGTATAATTAAACGGAGCTACACACAGACAAACCAAAAGTGTTTGACCGAAACATTTTTATATACATTCTTACAAATAGAATACACTATATCTATTTATTTGTTTAGCATGTTTAACCGATTGTTATAAAAGCTATTTCATACTATTTCTGGAATAGAGTAAAACAAGAATAAGTACAAAAAGAAATATTACACACTTTTTGCCACATTGCCATGACATCGGTGACAAAATACAGTTTGGTGCAAAACTTGCTATCACATTTCCAAAATTTTGATCAATGGTGAGCAATTGAGTCAGACGAGACGAGGCGAGGCGAATAATGAAACACCATTAGAGAGATATCGTGGTAAAACAATACAAAGTCTTGTAAAAGTTTTTAATTACCAATCTGATAACAATAATAGTGTAATAGTACTAGTTAGTAAAAATAAAATTGTAATAGTAAAAGAAAAAACAAGAAAAAATGCTAATTTAGGTGCGTCAAAGCTATTGTACCCTTCACAAATAGCTTCCTTACAAGAATTTGATTTTGATCTGTCAGTTTGTATAGCAGATAAACGCTATAATGATTCGGTTGAAGAATTTTTTTTTCTTATATTGCACCTGTGCCTTGGATAGTAACCTATGTCAAATTTCATAAATTTTTCCTTACAAGGACTTGGTACTGATACATCAGTTTATATGACAGCCATAATAAACCGAGCTGAACAATTTTTTCGGAGATTGCAATATTGCCTTAAACAATAATTCATGCCAAATATTTTGAAGATATCTCGTCAAATGAAAAAGTAGCAAGCTGTTTAGGATATGATTACCACAATTAATCGAATAAGTTTCAAAGAATAAAGTTTTAGGTTTCAAAGAAATACAAAAAAAAAAAGAAATTATACCACACTAGGGCGCTTAAAAATATTCGAATAACTCGACAGCCGCTTATTCGAAGGTTCGGTTTATAACCGTTCGTACGAATTTAACCGTATAGTAATATTCAAATAGTCGCTTTGTTACGACTACTAACGCGATTATTCGAATAGTTGCTATGCTGCGTGTATTTGAATAAATGAAAATTGTTTGAAATCCAAGCAACCTTTTATTATTAATTTTATTTTTTTTGTTTTGAACGCTTTTTGTTTCTTTTTTTGTTTTGAACGTTTACTATTCGAATAGTTCACAACGAACGATTAACCAAATAGTCGAAAATGAGCGGTTAATCGCATAGTCGACAACTTACGACAATCCGAATAGTGCAAACTGAATATTTTTTTTCGAATAAGGCTCTATCTGGTTAATTCGCTTAAAAGATTAGTCGAATACCAAGAGCTCTATATCGCACATAGCTGAAAGCTATTTATTTTACAAGATGCATTTGTTTGCACTATTTTAAAGAACTTTTTGTCCATAAAGTATGAAAAAAATCAAATTTGGTTAAATCATTGCACTCAATAATCTTTTATAATTAGCATCAAAACCGAATACTCACTTGTAAAAACAAAATGTAATGAGTAAAGTGGAAAAGTGCCACGTTTGCCGTTCGTGTGCCTCCATCTGTTGTGTTTCGTCGTCTTGTAAAATCGTTTCTATTTCCAGTTGTTTGCTAAAAGTTTCTTTTTACTTTTCAGAGTTTTGATTTCTTTGCTTGAGTGTGTGTGTGGGTTGACTTATATTATTTTCAATTTTTATTTACTTATTTTCAGAAACAAAAAAAAACGGAAAATATTCAATCAGTTTTATAAACGAATTTTTGCCACGATTTTGGACCAAAACGAAAGAGAAAATGTACGAATGCGTTTGATCTATTGCCAGCCGAAGCGCCTGCGTCCAATATTCACTTGTAATTTAACACGTTTTCGCATACAAATCTAATTCTTGCAACGATATTGTGAAAGTCTTGTCAAAAAGAGGAATTTAGATTAAAAAAATTTTTTTTTCATTGATATGCGGTTTTTGATGTCTTAAGTCTAGTATTTTGCTAGCGTTTTGTTTCTATAGCCTTTTTCGCTCACTTTGTTTTGTGTTTTCGTTTTTCCTTAACTATTAGTCATTAAACGACTTTCGTGACAGGTACGCTGCGTTTTTATCGATCTTTCTCTTGTTTTTGTTTTTATATTCGTTCTTGTTTTTGTCTATTTTTTTTGCTTATTATTTATTATTTATTAATTATTTTCATCGATTTCCATTTGACTCACGTAAATATCAACTTACAAGGTTTGTTTTTCTAATCGTACGTAAAACTTCTTTGAATATTTCTGCTCGTTTTCAAGTGTTATAAAGAGAGCAGTAAGAGATTTGTTTTCTTACATACATTACACATATACGTTTGAGAGAATGTTATTTAACTAAGTTGTATAAATACGCATTGTTTTTTACACCAAAAGGAATAACAACCGATTTAATAATGGAAGAACTGCATATAGTTAGAGAATGATCATAGTATAGTAAAGGAATACAAAACTACTGTGTATATATATAATATATATCTTATGTGATATATTGCTTGAAAACAATTCAACCCCGTTGTGCATAAAATAATAATTAATTTCCAACTAACCATAAAAATATAAAACATTAAATATTTGTATTACTCAATTTCCATGAATAATGAACTCAAAAAATGCTGAAGTTCAGGAATGTTTCTATATCAGTTCATAGATTAGTTTGTTTAAATTAAGTATTCTCGGAAAATGTTATTTCTTAAATAATTCCAATACTAATATATTCAAGTTTTTTTGAGACTAAAAACAAAAAACTTCTACAATTGGTAGTTTTTAACTAAACGAAAAAAACACATGATACGGATTTTGAGCATTTCAAAGAATTTCTTTTTATGACTTCAAACGGCATGAGAAGGCAACGCCTTTCCTGAAGCGGACATTTTGATTAAATATATGAAAAACTCTCAAATAAGGGGACTGAGTTTATAAAACATTTGACTTTTTTGTAGGCAACCTTAATTTTTACTGTTTACTTATTTTAAATTTTTAACGTGTACAAATTTTCAAACGCTAATAATATTTAAAAGAAAATTATGTCAAATAATAAAAAATATAAATACATATAAAATTCGAAAAACACATCTTTTATAGAAACATATTTTTATTATACTATCTTCTTAATTGGTCTCATGAACTCTCAACTAATTTTTCAGAGCAACTTCTTTGCAGTTTTATAAAACGTCTAAAATATTCAAAAATTTAGTACATCTTTATAAAAATAGTTAGTAGCACAATTATTAACTAAACGGCGAAAAAAGACTAAGAAAAAATGTGTGTAAAAATTTTTGTAACTTTTTATATGATGATCAAAACACGCCGGCTTATTCATTACATTACTGTATATTAAAATACAATATGGACAGAAGTGCTTAACCAAGTTTTGCAATATCAATGAGCATCATCTAAATCATCATCTAAAAATTGGGAGAGAAGCAAAACAAAAAATGCTCAGCAGATAACATTAGTCTTGTTGACCATGTGTAACTGGTTCAATCTGAAATCTTTGACGTTGTTCACCTAACGTGTTCTTCAACAGTAAAAGTATTCATTCATAATGACAGCTGAGTGGTAAAAAGTAAAAAAAAATATCTAAGAGTACCAGTAATATTCCATAATTAGGTTTTATTATACCAATTGAGAAAGTAAAAAATCTTTTTTTAAGTTAAGAAGTAAAAATCCATCTTCGATTCATGGACTGATATATAATATTTAAACGCAATTCTTTATAACAAATATATATATATATATATATATATATGTATATAAAAAAACACACATCACACACAAATATAATAATATCACTGGTTAACAAAATTTTAAATAATTTTTGTCACATGAAAATTCATATAAAATTTTTAATGTACTAGTTTCCACTAAACAATAGAATGTGAATGGAAAAAAAATTTACCCGTCAGGTTGTTTCAAAACATATATTTAGAGAAATTATTGCTTAATATAAAAAAATACTTATGATAGATTATTTGACGTCTGGAAATTCTTTTTTAAGTCTCTAACAATAATCAGCTAGCATTTCTGCGCTCCATTTCCCAGCCCCCAAATTTGATGCAAAGAAATCCAGATGAGAATCCAGCATATGTTTTTTTGATGACTTATTACACCCCAAAACTTTATTTGACATAAGTTCATTTCTTAAGTCCTTGTAAAGTTCCGATTTATGATTTCCTAGAAAGTTTTGGACTACGTTCACAAAACAGTTCCAGGCGAGTGAGTAGAATCCTGCTTTTCTGATCAATTTGGAAGCTTTGGCACAGGCAGTTCGGCACTACGTCCGATGGGTCTGTTGGCTGATGACAAGTTTGGATTTTGATACTCGTAAGATTGGGTTGAAATTGATAAAGTTGTATAGTAAATAATAAAAAACAACGCCCTTTCAAAGTTTTATTTCTATATACCATCTGATCAGAATTGACCCGGACTAAAAAAAAACTACATTTTCACATATATACAAATCTTTATTATCGCCTTCAAAATATACCTTTTTGAAGTAAATACAAGCATGCCAAGGTTTAATCCAATTTTCCATACACTTGTTATATGCCTCGGTTAGGATGGCCTTCAGTGCCTTCAGCGAATGACTGTTAACGGCATGAACTCATGGCGCGTTCAGAGAAGCGATTTTTCAGTTTAGAAAACAGAGAAAATCACAAGGAGCCAGATTTCTCGAATACGGTGGCTGAACGATAAGTCCCGTTTCGGTTTTGCCCAAAAAGTCAGTCACAATTATGATAGAATGTGATAGCGCATTTTTTTGGTGAAAAATACATGCATTTTCTGCCCACAAATCCGGTCGTTTACAATGGATTGCTTTACGTATAAGCCGCAAAATGGTCCATTAATGTTCCCTATTGACCATCCATACTAAAAACATCAGCAAAAATGTGATAAGTCGATCCATTAGAGATGTAGATTTTCTCTTAGAGATAGCCAACGCGAGGGTTTTTTGATAGCACTGTTCCTTTTACTTTTTCGATATCGTCCTTAACAGAGGTGGATGGACGACTAGCATGAGGTAAGTTTTCGATGACTTTACTGAATGCTTTGCACCGATCAAATATCTGCGTTCGTGATAAAGCGAACTCCCCAAATCCCCATGCCTGTAATATTTTCAACGAATCTGTAGCCGTCATTTCATTGGAAACTCACCATTCCAAGCAAATCCGTTGTTCAATTACTTTTTTCTTGCCAAAAATTGCCAGACCAACTTTTCGCGTCGTGAACATACGCCTGCCAAACACACACTAATTGATAAATATATGGAGATCAAACTTCACACATACAAAAAATACACTATTTGAAATCCTTTAATATATAATGACGTTTTAAAAAAATATATATATAATCATCTAGTTACATATAATTAACGCTGAGGTGTTTAGCTATAAATAGTCACTTTTATATATATACAAGTATATTTTTTTGATGTTTTTTCTTACACATATAAACTCAACTTAAAGAAACTTACCTTAATGGTTGTTTTGCTGTGTTTTTGTTTTATCTAAAACGAGAGAAAAAATCGTGTAAATGAAAAAATTCCAGTAGTAAACTTTAAAATATAATACTATATGTAAATAACAATTTTTATAAAAAATATTTTATATAATATAAAATTATTCAATCCATTTAATAATGACTCTATTTTCTATAGATGCCGTAAAACACTGATTGTGAAACCATTTCTATAATACATTAAGGTAACTCATATATTTATATTATAAAAATATTTGAATAATCAATATATTTAAATTAGATTTAGAGTCACCTCAATCAAAATCATCCCACTGTCTTCATTATAAACGCTTTAATAATGAGTTATTTTACCTAATAATTTTCATAGTTGTGAACCGATATAATGCAGTTAAATACTTGAAAATATATATATAATATTAAATATGTATATCTATTTAATGCCCAGTATATGCCTATGTTAAATTTTGTTCTTTGCTCTTATATCTAACTATTGTAAGATCAATATTTTTTTGTTCAAATTTCGTATCCGAGACTTGATAGTTGATATTTCGTGTGATATCGCTGAATTAAAAAGTCGCTTAGTTATATGGTAGGTTGAAAGAGGAGGCGCAGAAGACTCATTGTACTCCCTGATGATAACCAAATTAAGCCTTATCCAGCAACTTAGCGGATTTGGTAAAAAACTTGATTTTCTGCCACCACAGCTGCCCTTTTTGTTTGTTAAGTTGGAGCATTGGAAGCAGTGGAAGATAACCCGTCTCAGACGGCTGAAGGCTAGCCATTCGCAAAGTTAATGTTCCAGCGTCTACCCATTTTCGCGCAAGCACTGCATTCCACCGAATCTACTTCTCACTTTTTCAATTTTCTAAAGGTGGAGTCTTAAGAGTAGGTAGTAGTCCAGTGATGACCCCTACAATATTACCAAGCTACCTTTTACCTAGAAGTAGGACCCTGAATGGTCTGGGGAAGTTTAGAGGAAATGTGCTCCTAGCTGTCC